TTAGTGAAGTTACGAGTACGTGTTCAATATCACAGTTTGTGAGTTCATTTTAATATAACTTCGTATGTTACTATTAAAATTAATCTTCAATTGCGCTTATACAGGGTGATTATTAACAATCAATAACTTTAAAACTCTGGCAACATACATTGCGCTAAAACGATAGCTATTGAGTTCCTCTAACTCCACAAAGCCGTTGATCCGCCTGTTAAAAATCATCCTGTATAATTTACATCGAATCAATTTGTATTTGTCTTATGCTGGACCTAAGTTACACCCACAGGTTTAAGGATACAAAAAATGTATTCTCTTCTTATAATAACATTTTGTAAAACCGCGTAATACTTCTGTTTTTGCTCTAAAAGCTTTGTGGATAAATAAAACAGAGGTTGGAATGTGGCCAAGACAGTAACGTAAATTTGGTCTAGGTTAAGCAATAGTATCGCATTCAACGCAAATTTATGTCGCGGTCGATAGGAGATAATTGTTTTCAACCGTTTCTTACTAAATGGCTTAATTTCGTTTCATTGTACTTACTATGAAATGGGAACTAATGATTTAGAACTTCTGAACAATCCAACGGTGGTATTTTTCGATGTAATGTTTTAGAAGATGTTATAAACTATAACTCTTCCATACAATCTATTATAGGCCTATCTCTAACACACCTGTGAGACAGTAAAGCTTTCTAGATGATAGCCATAATGTGGTTTAAGATATTTATTTTCTTTTAAGAATATACAATTCACTTGATGAGATTTTTTTTAAAAATAAATGTTTTACTAACATACATAAACATTTTTTAAATTATTCTCTTAGTGCATAAATACAGTTCCATTAGCCAGAAATACATTTTAAAAAGTAAGAATTCATTGTAAACGAAGTCACGTATCCCAGTTAGCAGTAGTCCATTTATGTTAAACATAATTGGATTATACGTTATCCGTAGTAATAAACTTAATTCCACGTATTATTTTATTAAGTAGACAACTTAATACGGCACAAGAGAGACATAGAAATGCGGGCTCATCCCACCTTAAATTAAGATTAAGGTTCGGTAAGCGTGTTGAAATTTTCGTAAGTGCAACATGTAAAAGCACTCAAGCGAAGGTTCAAAAGAAAATAAAACAGTACTAAAACACATATCTTTAAAAAGATTTTCGTACATTTTACAAGTATGAACAATACATGTCGAGACTATGAAATAAAAATGTGAGTAAACATATTATAAAACTTTGAAATAAACTCTTCATTACTTTGCAAATGTTTGACGTAAAACAGAATCATTTCATGATTCGCATTTTCTTGTAATGACAGTTTTGTTTTTAAATTAGAAGCAATCCACTAAAGTTTTACTCAAGTTATTAAAGGCATAGATAGAATAGCTCCAGGATAGAATAGCTTTTCTTATTAGTCTAAGATTGTTTTAAATATGAAAAATACTCTCCTTGTTATAGTAGTACAAAAATCGCTTATAATTCTTTAAACGTGTCAAGTAGGTATATCTACTATAGACAATAACGTAGCCAACCTCTTGTTTAAGCTCGTACTCAGACCGCTTGAGGCGTTTCTGGTCGGAATGGCAATAATGCTTCACGTAGTACAAGTGAAGCATGATAACGGAGCTTTGCCCAACCGATGCTTGAATTCTGCATCAAGGAAATTCTAATACGTCAATTGGATTTGCCAATGTATTGTACATGTTTCAGAAGTAGTGATTGATACAATTTTTTTAAATAACAGACGCTTACGGTCACTTAGTTACTTAAAGTAGTAATATAATGGTAATTATTTTAAATTGTGCGATCGTCGATTGTTTCGCAGCAAATTCAACTGCTTAGTTGAACAACTAAAAATAGAGTAGTGTGCCCACCTCCATATAAGCTCATAGAAATTAAATCAAGACTAAACAGGTGTGCGTTTGGTTTCAGGTGTTGCACGCTCTAAATATTTCCTTCGAAAGAATAAAAAGAATAATTTCAAACAGGCTGTGTCAGTATCATGACTCCATAATTCTAAGGTGGAATTAATTACACAGACATGAGTAAAATCAGATACCTACAAGAGATGCCAATCTAATCTTGACACGTTTAAATCTGGCCGTAATCGCTGTAATCGTGCCACTCAAAGGTGCTCGTATCTAGCCTGCAGCTCCCCAGAAAACTTGACACGGCATAAATCCGCCCGTCTAGGTAACCTGTAATAATCCTTTTCTGTTTTATCTTATGTTAAACGTAATTCTAAAAAATATAATCACTGACCATATACATAAATGCTGATATAGTAAGAAATAGATTAAAAGTATTTAATGACAGTTCAGAAATACAAAATTTAAGACAAAAATATCTTATTTAGTTTGTTATATGTGTTGCCATAGTTATTTAAATGTTTACGATTGCATGAGCGTAAATTATAGATTACATAGTTTATCGTAAACATATATTTTTTGTAATAGCTGGTCTTTCAAAGTAGTTAGAAAATAATATCCAAATAGATAGCACCTAGAGTTGTAAGTGTCTATACCATTGAGTGACGAAGACAATGTCCCATTGTTCTTTAGAAACTAGCAGTCTCAGTTTAGTACATAGTAATGGAGCGGCCATTGTCTCATATTGCCAACTTGGTTCTCATCTTAATTATTCTACACTTTTGAACAAAACCAAGTCATTCTACCTTCATTATGTTGGGCACTAACGCATATATAAAGACACTCTTATTTCTAAGATGTGGTATAAATGGATCAACTTGTATTCCAATTTTAAATCTGATAGGTTGAAGATAACAACTTTTGCCAATCTAAAACAATTTACGAATTTGCCTACAGAATCTGGATCTGGAAGAGAAATGAAATGGAGTAGTCAATGCAAAAAGAGGTAAACTTTTAGGTGAGATGGTAATTCAACAAGAGAAGAAAATTAGAGAGAAGAATGTCTACGAATATCGCATCATACGCCAACGATTCAAGGAAATACCTTTCCTGGATGATATTTAGATGAAAAAATTAAAAAATAATCAAAAAGTGGTATATTTCATAAAAATGTTCCAATATATTTTTAATCATAACACTGTGGCATAACCAATATCAATCGGATGAATGTTTGTCGTGGCGTATTTACTCTTGCAAGTTACCGGTTTCAATTTAGCGGATTAAAAACTCTCCGACGTTGTCAAACATGCAGCAGATGTACTCCGTCGGGAATATTGAATCGTTTAGTACACACATGGATTTATTAAACGGTAACATATCGAATAATTCTAGAGCATTTGATACTCTATTATAATTAAAAGAAATCATAAATTATAACAAACCTATCTAATCAATTCTAGTTTTATAAGGCTGTAATCACAGACTTATTAAAAACAGACATGACAACAATTTAAAAAAATAAACTCTATAAATGACATAAATAGACAGTCAAATGTTTAAATATAAGGAATGAATGAATATGTATTTATTGCCACATAAAAGAAATTACATAAAAGGACTTATTCTAAAGAAAACACAATCGTGGCAAAAGGTAGCCCGCTCAGCGTATGCAGGACGGACTAAGCTGATCCTGCGATTCTCAGCTGGCTACTTCGCACTCAAGTAACATATAGCCTAATTATTAGAGTAACCGGCCGTATAATTTATCAGAAGAATGGATCAAGTCCATTAAATACTAGCATTTGATAAACTGCTTGTTATTTAAAAACGTATCATAAACGTTACTACGTGTTAGCAATATTCCGTGCCTATTTCAACGAAAAAGTAAATGTATCAATATTTGTTTTATTCACAGTGTGCCCACGCTGGAATTGTTTTTATGTCTCGTGGATCGCTTAATCCCCAAAGCGTTTCAATCTCTTTTCTATCGACGTTTTAATGTTTTTATTCATTGCTTGTTTACTGCTTTTAGATAATCCTAGAACAATGTTACTCGTGATGTGGGATTTTCCGATACTGATTTGATGCATGTGGTGTAGATAATAGTCTTGAGTGGGCTTTAAACTGAACATTTTCAATGACCGAAGTTAAAAAATGTATTAAAAATGTTTTAGTTTATTAAAGAGGAGCATAACCTTAGCTTTCAAATTGTCGATTTAATAACATTTAGATTAAAATTTACAAAAAAATAATTATCTCACTAGTAATAAGAAAACAATAGTTAACTTCTAAATTAAAAGTATAAATTATGTTCTTAAAGTCTCTAATGAATATTCTATTAAAACAAATGTTAACTCGAGGCCGGGAATCTAAGAGCTTAACCGAGAGCATAATAATTTCAAAGTAAATGGACAGTTGCTTTCTAAAACTACATACAAGTACTTAACACTAGTAGTGTTTCCATTACCGGCTCTTTATAAAACACGCACACATGCTCACGTTAGAAACAAGGAATTCGCTCCAATAAGCTGCAAGCTAAAACGATTTATTACTTTACTTTAAAAAACAAACATATTTGTCACTTCTTGATAATACAATCGTTGCAAATCAGGCCATAAAATTTGATAAAAAGACGCTAATTTTACAGCCAAATATTTCTATAAACTATGCATTATTAAAGCTAATTTCCTGGTTTAAAATAAAACACTTCCATGAGACTTTATCGTATAATGTTTCTGTTACCGAGATAAAAATGAAAGGAGAGCATTAACTGGAAGCGTTTTCCGCGCTTCTTCGTTCCGCTAATAGAATCTCGTTACTCAAGTCAGAGAAAGCATTAACTATCGCTAAAGCCAGATTTTAAGATAAAAGAACGGCATTATCCTACTAACAAAGAAAAATGGAAAAAAGAAAAAACGAACCGAAATGAATATACGCCTACAACGTCTAAGGGAAAACTAACCTTATTGTTTTACTTTTATAAATACATCGCAATAGTTTATTTCATTAACGATGTTTATTTACTGTGTTCTTCAAGAATTTTTTTCATTCTCATTATATTAGCATAGTACACTTCAATAAGGTTCAAAAGATTTTAGCTATAACATTCTAACTGGCATAAGTATTTGATAATTCAATCATCACCTCGTCCATAGTCGTCCATTTCCCAGAACCTTGTAAAAGTACTCGTAAATTCTCCTAAACCTGTTAATTCCATAGAAACTCAATACAGCTAATCTAAACGACGTGAGTTCTATACAAACACCTGGCTCAGAGTGTAGATTATAATTTGTCGATACAGTTCAGTATTTTCTTGTTCCAACTACAACTAATCCCCCGTTTACACTAGGCCAGTACAGTTGGACAATTGCAAATGCCAGTCATAGATTGTAATCATTGTCGCCAGTTAGTGTTCATGCGCCAGTTGATTGACTGTCCAGTTATTGAGCGATACTAACTGTATTGGCCTAGTGTTAACCGCGCATTCCCTTAGACGTTTGATAATAAATGCACACAAAATAACGTCGTTGGTTTGTGGTCGTTCTGTATTTAATATGAAATTTCAAAACGGCTTATGTAATCGTTATAAGTTTTAGTAAACACGAATCCGTGAGGTGAAATATAACTTTCAGACCGTGATTGATGTTCCATCTGCTGCCTTAATATTACACTCGAATATTACCACAACGCCACGTGAATTTCCCTTATATTTTTTTAATATCAACTTTTAGTAGATATACTGACTATGTTGCTTCAAATATTTCACATCGCTTTAAATTAAACGTAGAGAATGTTGATATCAGTTTTTCATCAACCTTATTAAGTATCAAAATTAATTAGTTGCAAAAAGCCTTAAAACGTCGCACATGTACCTTCAATAGAGTTTATAAGAGTAATTAAATTTATGGTATACAGAGAATATGTATTATTTTCTTAAATTATAGTATGTAGTAGTTACCCTTTTGCGGTTTTATAAGTGAAGTTGAAACTCTTGTTTCTATATCGGTCCTAATCGTTGACATTAAGACTCTATTATTATCTCACTAGATAAGCGAATGATCTAGTTAATACAACCGTTATTTAATTTAATGTAATACTATTTTTCTATGAGAAAAACTTACTTCTAACTAATATTAAAAGTTTGGATGAATGGATGTTTGTTAGAGTTTGTAGCCTAATCGACTGAACGGATCTCGATGAAATTTGGCAAATATGTTCATAATAAAAATAAAATTTCTATTCGGGATATAAAGTGAAGTTAAAAATGGATTCATACCTGAAAAAGATCTAAAGTGTGCCTTGAAAGCCTTGAATATTTAACGAAGTTAAGCGCAAAATTGAGTGAAGTTTAAGCTTTTGTTACTTTTCAGTCTACAGCGAGGTAGCGGGTGAAAGGAAGTGCTACTAATTAGGTGACGGTGCCTCTATTGTCATTGAAACCATGTTTTTCTGAAATACGATGAATAATCACTTTTTTTGTCAAAACATATCTGATTACTTTACCGCTTTGAGAAATTCTCTTTGGGATGTCAGTAGTTTTTTTTTTGCTTCTTTTTCATTACTCACTTTATAAAACGTTCGGTTTTTTAAGTCAGTCAGTAAAAACTTGACAGTATTGATAACAATTTAAAGTAAATTTTGTACCACTAGCGCAGATTTCAAACGGACTATGTCAAAACATTTAGTATAGTTGTAAATAAAAAGAAACACAATTCTTTTAAGTAACGACAAATACTTTATGGAAAATCAGCAAAAGTTCTTCAAGAACCAGACAAGAAGAAGTTTTCGATCTTAGCACCTGTGTAACTTTGGGAATAAAGTTTCGATGTCGCAAGATCAGCTCTTTGTAACACTCAACTGTCTTGCTTGCATGTGGTTGGAAAGGAGTTTGTAACTAGGGTCACATTCAAGTTTCTACAAATAGTGTTATTTGTCTTTTCATCATATACACTAGCTGCACTATTTGCCTGCATCTCCGTCCATGTGGAATTTAAATAACAATAGTAGGTAGCCTGTATTCTTCCAGACTATCTATATCTGTGCCAAATTTAATCAATATTCGTTTAGCAGTTAAGACTACAAACAAACATACATACATCTAAACCTTAATACTTTTAATATTAGTAGGAAATAATAAAATGTTTTAAAAGAAACATACCGTTATCGACTAAGATCGCTATCTTTTTGCTTATTCTGTAATTCTAAAAGTTGTCTTATTTTATTTTTTGCAACACTAGCAATCATACTAATATTATTAATGCGAACGTTTGGAACGATAGATGTTTGTTATACTTTGTAGCCTAAACGGCTGAACGGATCTCAATTAAATTTGGCATAGATGACAGTCTGAAAGAACACATAGGCTTCTTACTTTTTTAATTCCAGGCGAATGGAGTCGCGGGCGAAAGCTAGTGTAAATTAAAATGTATGTGAAATTGATCTGCGAAGATCTGCACATTATAATATTCAGCATCAATAGCTTATGAGATATAAATTGTTTGCAGCACACGAAAACATGGCTTTATGATATCAAATGTACGCTTTTGAGGCAATATAAATGCTGAAATCACCTGCTCTGTACGTTCTATTCGCCAGTATATTTGTAATAAAATTTGAATATTTGGGTGTATTCTGTCTGGAATGATATATTTCCATGAATTTAGATAATATATTGAATTTCTTAATATAACAAATTACTACAATATTTGATAAAATACTTAAGGCCTATCCCACCAAATTGTTAATTGTCTGATAACAATCCAATGTGTAAAATATGTGATGGAAATATCGGATTTTGTTACCTTATCTGCCAGTGACATCATTTTTAATCTATCTTAGCCTCTATCAGCCAGTGGTGGGACAGACCCTAATAGTAATGAAGTAAAAACACTAAACCTAAACCAACAACTAAAGAGGGAGAGGAAACCTTACTTGATAAAATTAATACAGACCAGATCGTATACACTTTATACTATTCGCTTCTATCTCACATAAAGGTTTCAAAATCTTTCCTGGTTTTTAAAAGTATATAATAATTATTAATTAAGAGTAGATGACAAAACACCCGGCTGTTAGCAAGGATATTGATCCTTAATCCAGAATAAGCGAGGGATTGATTTCAATATCTGCTTCAGATTTCTAATAATGTATTGAATCTCTGTGTATTCGAACATATTGAAATACCTATAGAAATACATCTAATAGAAGTCTAATAATCCTTCGTTGTATATAAAGTTAATCAGAGGCTTGGAACTTTTGCAATATCTATTTTACTAGAACCATCCCTTCGCAAATTAATGTAGTTATTGAAACTCTGCGAAATCCTAGCTTATGTCTGGATATTTATTTTTTTATAATTCAGGTACACTTAAGAGAGCAAATTCAAATAGGCTGATAATGATAGAGACGTATGAAAGAATAAAACGTACTATGCGCCCTGGAAATTAATAGTGCAGGCTGAAATTGGTGATGGTGATAGTGATAATGATGATGACGATGATGATGATGGTGGTGGTGGTGGTGGCGGTGGTGTTGGTGGTGATGGTGATGGTGATGGTGATTGTGATGGTGATGGTGATTGTGATGGTGATGGTGATTGTGATGGTGATGGTGATTGTGATGGTGATGGTGATGGTGATGGTGATGATGATGGTGATGGTGATGGTGATGGTGATGGTG